ACTAACTACTTGTTCACATGGATGTGTGAGTCAAGTAAAGGACTAAGGGATCGATTACACATTCGTGTGCACTGATTAAGTCTATTCGTCATGATTTATTAAAGTTTAGTAAATATGGTTATACTTACAAGCTTAACTATAATTCTGAAGCGTTTGAATTTTTTTCTAGTGTATGGCAGAACGAATGAGAAGAATTAAATTAGGCAGAAGGATAAAAGTTTCTCAAATCTTAAAAGATGGGAGATTACTTTAGTATCATGCTATATGATCATCTTAATGATTAACAGACCTTATCAGAATTCATCCTCTAAGTGCATTCTGATAGCTAAGAAGAGGAGCTACGAATTGTTGAAGTTGTCAAATCAAGAAGATGAGTCATACTTCGTTCCAACACAATTTTTAGAGTCATACTCCAAGACTGTAACTTAAGTGACATGTCTTAAAGAAGGTTTAAAACACTTGTCAAATGTATGAGTAAAAGTTTCTACTCTTGTACATTTGAAATTGGTAAGTCGTGATGTTTTGGATAAAACAAAAACCGACAAAGGCCAATTGTGTTAAATGTTTGTCTTGATTAGAATCCACACTATCTCTTGAATATTTGACAAGAAAGTCTTATATGTCAAGAGGATAGTGGTAGTCTTTGAGGTCTTGAAAGTCTCAAGAACGAATCAAGAATAAAACCTGAAGTTCTTCACTAGCACATGAATTGAGGTTCATAACCTATCGTGTTAACATATTCTGTGCCCATTCCAGTTAAAGTTGGCTTTCCATATGAGTTCTTAGAGTTCTCAATTGGTTGCACAACAACTTGGAAGCAATGGCAGACCCTTCAGCTGTAATGTGGGAAGAAATTAAGATTAAGTTCAGTCCAAGTGAGTTTTGATTTGTCATTATCCTAGTCTTGTGATTATGGTTTGAAAAATTCACGTGGATAAGAACACATACACCATTAAATCTAAGTGTCATAAGGTTTCTCTCCGATTCATGAAAATGATGGTGAGGAAAAACTTTCACTAAGAAGATTTTAGTTAGATAGTATATATGATATTTGCATTCTCAAACTCGTTAGAGGAGCGTGTGTGGTTAACCGACACACTAACATGGACTTATGAGAAGTGGAAAAACGTCTAAACAATCGAGACTATGATTACGACATCCCTTTTCACTGCTCTTAAAATTGTTTCGACACACCTTTGAGCTATCTAAGATAAGGTGTATGATATTGATAAATTTTTATCAAAGCAATCTAGTATCAGAAATCCGAGCTTTGGTAACAAAGTCAATAAATTATTGATTTCTAGAAGTCCAGTTGATTACTGAGTACATGTCAAATCTAGTGGGAGCATAAGTGTTATGCTAGTAATCATCATGTTAGTGGGAGCATGATAATTATGATAAAGGTTGCAAGTTAGCAATGTTAATTATAGAAAACAAAAGTTTCAATTGGGAAAGAGTTGTTTTGCTATAATTAAGGGAGAGGAAATTATACTTCATCTCAAATCTATAAGCTTAGATCGTGAGATTTTGATCAAATTTAGTCAAGTATATATATGAATTTCATGTTGGAATGGCTCAACATAAGGAAATTATATATATGGTTCCATTATTTGCCTTCTAAAATTCGATTATGATTACATCATCCCTTTTCATAATCTGAATTATGAGAAATTGGCAAATAGATATGGAAATGTTTTAGCAAAACACTAGTTTAGTCTTTATGTGAGACATCATAAATCGTGTCGCATATGCTTCAGATATAGGATTGATTACATGTGTTATATTCATCCTTTCTAAAATTTTCCAAATGACTGGGGCATTAAGAAGGGAAAAGGTGCAGAATTGGATATGACTAAAAATGATTAAGCAATTGTTGGGGATAATCAAACGTTTACCAAAGATTGGTTGAGCAAGGATAATTGGAAGTATAGTGTTAATTCTGGATGGACCATATTGACATAATCTGTAAGGAGGCAACTCTTGTTCAGAAGTGATAGTCAAAATGGAATATGGAAATGTTTCAAAGTTAGTAATTATTCAATCTGTGTAAGATTAGGAAACTTAATGCAAGAAGCATGTTTCCAAGGAGTTAATCTATTTTGGAATGCTCTGTAATGTTTTTTGTCAAGTCTTTGCGACATTGTGCATAATCATTACTAGAGGATCAATGCATATAAGTTTAGAATCTAACAGATTTTAGTAAATGGCATGAATTTGGAATTCTTGCATTTGCAGTAAGGATTTGGGACTGTGAAAAGAGGATCATTGGGGTTATGTTCAATTGATCTATTTAACAAAGTGAAGATCATAGACAAACATAGTATGCATACTTGGTGTATGGCATGACTAGTGTTTACAAAACATAGTGTACATGCTTGGAGCATGGGATAACTATTGTTTTAATTCAAAAATAAGTTGATAGCTGAAACAGTATACAATGAATAATGTGTAATCTTCTGGTGATTAATAAAAGGTGTTTTATTTATGTTCATAGGTTTTGATACCATATTGAATTCAATTATTATTGTGTTTCACTTTGCGTGTTTTAACTTCCAGAATAACTAGGTCATTGTTCTGGATGGCTAAGTTATTCAAACCATCCACAGTCGGTCATATGTTGGAAGTAGATATGAATTAAGACTGTCATGGGTTGGCTTGTAGAGGTCTAAGATGTTGGACAAAGGGCTACAACACTCATGAGTGCTCATAAGTTCTGAGTATTGGATTCAGCTCGCGCTCATTGGAATTACTTCATGGATTTTATCATGAGTGATCATGAGATGATAATATTTATATTCTTCAAACCTAGAGATATGAGTTGTTACTATGATTTGGTTGTACATTGATTGCACGAAAACGCATTCGGTAACTCGATGTTATAAAACGTTCCTTTGTGTATGGTTCAAAAAGTAGTAGAACAAGACATATGAGATGAAGTTTATCCATTCCTTTTACCTTCGGGATAAAAGCAATATCTGTGGGCCCCTTGATGATTTGATGATGACAAATGGAAGTGCTCGGTCGGGCCAGGACTGATTTGATTTGTTCAATTAATCAGTCATCATAAATCGGAAATCAGGAAACAACAAATGGACAGAGAGAATGATTATAATCCATGTCTCAGTCCATATGATATGTAGAATGGAGGAATATATGATCCCTTATCTAATGGACAAGTCATTGACAAAGGTCAGAGTTCAATGACAAGGTCAGAGTTCGATAGAAGCTTTTGAGAGCTACAATTGGTGATCGGTTCCTGAAGTCATACACAATAATAGTTTTAGACTTATCCAAGTGGGAGAGTTTTGGATTAATGTCTAAGTCCATAACTATAATTGGTGAGACTTGACCCGACCCGGCATGGTCCATTTGGGTTGCATGGCATCATGCATTTGGATAGACTATAATGAGAGAAATAACAGTTAAGGTTTGTTAATATATTATAAATTCTAATACATTATTAAGTTTATTTAATTAGTATTAATCAACAATTCATCTAGGATTAATTAAGTGATCAAAAGAAGACTAATTAAATATATTGGTTGATTGTGTAAATCATCCATACTTGTATAGTGGGCTAATGCTCCATGGATTATCAAGTTGGGATAAAACCCATAGGATGCTCCATGGTGTATTTGAACCCACGGATCCAAGGAAATGGAAGGCCATGATAATTAGGGTTTACCCTAATTGTGATACTAACTATATAAACATGTTATTTTTGACAAAATTGAGTATGAGATGATAGAAAGGGCTAGCTGATTTTATGAAGTGTTCCAATTTCTCTCAAGTCATTGCAAGTGCAAATGATGTTGTGTGAACCATTTGAGGTGTCACACTTGGGGCACTAGGCACTCAAGCTTCATGAAGACAAGCTACATCAAATAAAAGGTATGTATTCTATCCAATTGATTACCTAAGTATCAAGTATTGTATGCTAGATAGGGTAAGACCTTGGAAGGTTCATATTTGCATGTTTAATAGAGAAAATATAGATGCAAGGTATTTAGGGTTGCATATACACTTAAGAGTGTTAGAATGCTCAAAACCCAACAATAATAGTCACTCTTTTCAGCCTCGCATTATTCTCCTGTTTGAACTAATTTGAAACAAAATATCATTGTATTTGTTATAATATTGCTTATCCTGTTATATCATTAGACATATATCTAAATCATCAAAGATTTCATGTAAATATGGGATAACTTGTTTCTACTATGATGTTAGAAGCATCTTTAGCATCACAATGATTCCTTTAATATGTATTTGCATTCACGTCTATTGCTCAAAGTAGGTTTTTTAAGAACAATGTTAGAATAAAAATGTAGATCGATGCAATCTAAACGGGTTAATGAATCAATGACAAGAACATAATGATAAAAAATGTGCTAAATGATTAAAATCACTGCCGTAGAAGAGCTTGAAAAAGAACTTCTTTTGTAAAGGCAGTTTAGGGTAAGTACAGTCGATACTAATAAAGGTGCATGCATGCGCTATAAATAGTCTAACCCTAGCACATTAAAAAACAGGTGGATAGGCCCAAACCATTTAGAAATATGGACTAAAGCATTACAAAACAATATTGACACAACACAAAATAAACCCAACAATCTCCCCATTTATGTCAATAAGGAAGGTATACTCTTCATTGTTGTTCACGCTTTGGAATTGAAAAGCTTTAGCATTATACCCAACAAAGACTTGTGAATCGGGACGTAACAATTGATCATGTTAGAAAAACATTTCTTGTCTGCAACACTGTTCACTTTATTCTGACTCACAAACTCCAGAATGTTTTCTAGACGCGAGGAGAAGTATAGATGTTTGTCAGGAAAATAGAAGCAAACTTTGTGAAAGTTTATGTTAGGTTTTTCTCTTATCGGAAAAGCAATATTCAAATCCATCTTTTGCATCCTCCCCAATTTCATCGTATCAAGATTCTTCGAAGAAAGACTATAGGTTTCTTATTTAGAACAGAGGCAATTTCCATGTCCATCTTTCTAACCACATTGATGTAATAAACCAACATTCATTTTAAAAGTGCAATGATAGGCTCGAATTGTTGTTGATCCTTCAGCTGTATAAGTAATAGAGAAATCCGATCGAGTGGTTTGAGGTAGGGCAGATCTACGATAGTAAATTCCAATCTTGAACTCGCATGCCCTCGAGAAAATTTGAAACTATAATTAATAAAGCTCTTAGTTTCAATAAGTCCAAACACCTTAACCGCTATGATCTTCTTTGAGCTCCACATTTCATATTAAGGTTTCATATGTTTTAGATAGAACGAGAGGAGTACCTGATCATCATCATAATCAGGAATAGGAGCATTCACAATCTTATCCAAACTGCAAAACTGAATGGCCTTTAGAGTAATTGGTAGATCAAGCTGCGAATCTAGAGAGTTCTCCAATTCAAATGACGTAACAGGATCTAGCCAATAACAATTCGGGTTTTTGATGGCTTCATTCAGAATTCGCTCAAATGTCCATAAAGGAAAAAGAGTCTTCTGAGTTTTCAATTTATCCTCGACTTCAAGTGTTGCCTTCTCTTTTTTCTCAGCCTCTTTAGCTACTCGCAAGTTTTCATGCAGTTCAGCATCGCGAGCTTTACGTTTTAATTTATCAGTTTCGTCTTCTTCTTCTTCCTCATCATCATAATCAACATTCTTGTATTTCCCTTTTGATGCCGAAGCTTCATTACCCTTCGGATCAGACTTGGTTTTTTGTTTATGTTTATCTTAAACTCCTTTACCAGAACCTGAAGTCTTTTCCGGTTCTCCGCTTGTTTTGGAATAGAAGATTCCGAAACACGTTGAATTTTGTCAAGTATGGAGAAGATAGGCTTCAAATTCTCTTCCAGATGCTGACGAACAAAGACTGTGAGGAGCCTTCTCAGATTTGAGTTCTCAGATAGGCTTCAAATTCTCTTCAAGAGTCTCAAAAGGCTTTGCAAATTAGCTTTCACATCAGCTACACAACTTTTGATGGCAGCCTTCTCAGATTTGAGTTCGTCGGTCTATTTATTTGTTGAAGATAACTTTACTGAGAGAACCTTCACCTTCTAATTTTTAAGAGCCAAATCTTCCTAAAGTTTCTCAATTTTGGAGGAGACGGAAGTTTGGAACTCCGAATGATCAGTTTAAAGCTCAATGTGAACCTTCGTAAGAGCCACCTTTTTATATTGGAGATGTGACACACGACTATTGATGAAGATTGAAAATCCACCATAAAGCTCTGATACCATTGGATGCAAAGACGCAATGATATCGTGAGTCTCTCACTGGACCTCCTCCAGAATACGAATATCGGAGATGGTGTATGACTCTGATTCCTCTTCATCACTAGTGGAAGGGGTATGTGGCTTACGAGCAGCTCATTTCTTTTTATTCAGTGTTTGAGTGGGCTCGGAGGGACAAACCTTAGCTTTTCATTTTCCCCTTTTCTTGGGTTTGTCTGCCTCTTCCAAAACCTTTTGCATTACATCAGTCAAGGGGCGAGGGCCGTATGCAGGTTGACTACGATAAGCGATCATAACTTCACTATCAGCTAGAAGATTGTGAAGCGGCTCCTCTAAAATGTATTCAATAAATATGAATCTTGAGCTATCAAATACTATGACATTTGAAGTATGAAATATTGGAATTGCCGCAATCATTGAACCCTCTACCACTGGAATATTGTGGTGATCAATAACTCTCTTAACAATAATTGACCAAAAATGAGCACATGAAATATCCGAGTGAAGAGTGACAGAAAGAGTACTTTGCACCAATTGAGCCCAAAGGGCCGAGCCGTAATCTAAATTGATTCCAGAATAAATGCGATAGAGGATAATAAGAAACATCTTATTGGCGTTGTCTGAGTTGGTGGTCTTCTATGAAAAACTATTGAAAATTATGTTAAATAAACCTTTCCACACGGGAGGCAAATTGGGCTTTTTAAATATTGATGGAATAGCTAGATACTCCCTATAACTTATCTGGTAAAACATTGCAAGCATGACAAAACTAGAGATGGATTCTAGTTCGATGAAATACCTAGCGGATGAAAGCCCTAGTAGATGGCTGAATCTTGACTTGGTGATGGATGTTTTCTTATTATCAAACTCAAAATAGATAGTAGATGCACTTTATTCATAGCATGAAGTGGAGTAAGCCTTGGACAGTAGAGACAAAGGATCATGTTCTATTTTTGAAAGCGTAGTAGCCAAGGTAGAATGTCCGAGGCACTCGATCAACAGTTGTAGAAAGACATAATACTTGGTTAGATCAAGATCCATGATGAGATTTTGGTTAGCTTGGATACCCAGAAACCCTAAAAAAGTCGTCTGACCAGCAGCAGAAGGAGTGTCTGATAAAGTTGACATTGAAATCAGAGGAGAAGAAGATGAACAGTCATGATAGAAAAAGGGGTTTTTCTACGCTTGATAATCTTTGAAATCATTAGAAGTGGTAACAAACTTAGATCGATTATTTGCCTTTTATACAACAATGTTAGAGAGAGAAAGCCAGCTAGTGACTGTTCATTTTCCTTAAAAAAGCGCCTGAAAAAGTGTGTGTGATATGTGTGATGTCAGGCGGCATAACTGAAAATGTGTGAAGTCAGGACTTTTTGAAAACACGCGCCCAAACCGATTCTTATCCCTTAAAGACCGGCTTTTCTATTCTGCGAATTCGTAATAGATCTCCATTTCCTGTTCTCCGAATCATAACGTAACCGTTTGAACTATGAACCATACTTTGGAAAATCATAGGGATCTTCGTGCAAGAGTGTGCCAAAGATAAAGAAATAAAGCAAGTTATTTAAGGGATTTTAGTGATGTCAATAAAGACATGAAACTATTGGATCCCGAGCAACGATCACTTCCTTCGGATTCAAGACAGACTTAGTAGTGTATGTGTGGTGTCTTGTTGACTTACGATCATTTGTTTTTTGAGGAACAGTGAAATGCATCTTTCCATGAGGCTTAAATATTGTCCTCATCTTCAACCAGACTTCAAAACTTAACATAAGTTCGAACATTCGGAAGAAGCACCAGTCTGACCAGTGTAGCCATAAGGACACGTATGCTTTGGATTATTTTGAGTAACTGGATAATAAAAAAAATCTCAAGAAAAATAAAAATTGGATCTTATGGGAAGAAATGTATTAGGTCTAGAACATTTCTTTAACATCTTGCAAAAATAAAATAATGAGATTCATGGTAAAAGACACAAAGGTGGATTCAAATAAATTCCTTGGTTAAGAACTAGAACATATTTATTGTTCACCGTCAATTCAGAAAGTGGTTTTGGAGTTTCGGTTTAAGTCAATTCGTGGTGATAATGAATTTAAGATCATGAACACAGAATTTATGTAACCATAAACCCCAGTGGTAAATTCCAAGAGTCTCAAGGTTTATGAATGTGAAAGAAAATGCAATATGAAGAAGTATTAATGGTGGTTCTGAAAAAAATGTACGTCTACTATATCTGAATGAACTAGGAGTCAACTCTTAACTCAATATTAGAAGAGTAAGGTAGCTCATTGATTTATGTGAATATTAGCCTAATTGGGAAGAAACGATTGGTAATATTGATTCATTAAGGCTTCAAACAACATGCTTCCAGGGATATTTAACTTGTGTAAAAATTCAGAATTAAATACCTACCCCATCATTCGTAACTGAGAGTGTCATGATGTGTTCCTTCAATCCTGCTCAATTTCTACTATTATAATATTTTTATAAAAGGAAATAAAATCAAAACTTAAGAACATATTTTGTAATTCTTGAATTTTTATGAAAAAGAAATAAAAACAAAAATAAAGAAAATATTTTTTAGTTTTTTATTTTTTGAAATAGAAATAAAAACAAAAAAAAAGAAATGCCAAGCCTACAAAATATACAAAGGATACAAAAATTTCCGGACTTCCGAATGAACAGTTGACTTTGAATCACTCCGAGCGTTCGGACCAATTCGCAGTGTGAACAGTTGACTCCGAACTACTCTGAGTGCTCAGACCCATTCACCGTGAATTCTACCAACTTTTAAGGTAGTTTTGGAACATAATCAACTTCAATCATTCCTAAGCCTTGAAGTATTATGTTGAATGTTTGCTTCGGAAAGGCCTTCATAAAGATGTCAGCCAGTTGATCAGCAGATCACACAAAGTTAATTTCAACATTGCCATCCTCTATGTGATCATTCATGAAATGATACCCCAGTGCAATATGTCTAGTCTTGTAGTGTTGCACTGGGTTGTGGCAAATAATAATTGCACTTTCGAAGTTGTAGTATAAGGGGATCTGTTTCATATTCATTTAAGTCCCTTAGCTGACTTTGAATCCAAATGACATTCGAGGTGCATGAGGCAACCCCTATGTACTCAGCTTCAGTAGTCAATAGTGATACACAAGTTTTCTTTTTGGATTGCCAACTCACGATTTTATCGTCAAGAAATTGACATCCTCCTGTAGTGCTTTTGTGATCAAGACCGCATCCTCCAAGATCAACATCTGAGAATGATTTCATAATGAACCCAGGAATTCGAAGGGTACCATATTTTACGAGTGAATTGGTTCGTTTAAGATATCTGAACATATTCTCTATGGATGTCATGTGATGTTCACAAGGATTTTCTTGAAACCTATCACAATAGAAAAAAAATGATGTGTAGATGACTAGCAATTAGATACATAAATGATCCTATCTTTTGTTGATAGAGAGTCATATCAACAACTAGTTTGTCCAAATACGATGTTAACTATGTTCCGAATGCGATTGGAACCTTTACTTTCGAATCTCCCACCATTCCGAACTTCGTGATTAAGGTCTTTGTATAAGCTTCCTGGTTGATAAATATTCCTTCTTGATGCTGTATAATATTCAAACAAATGAAAAAGTTAATCGAACCCATTGAGCTCATCTCAAATTTAGTCTCCATCAACTTTCAGAACTCTACAGTTAATCTAGGATTTGTAGATCCGAAGATGATATCATCAATATAAATCCCGATGATCATTAGATGGTCAACATCTTTCTTGTGAAAGAAGGTTGGGTCAACCGAGCCTTGTTTAAATTTAGATTTTTTTAAGAATCTAGTGAGAGTTTCATACCAGGCTTGTGCAACTTGCTTAAGACCATACACGACTTTATCTAGAGCTTTATCCATACTATAGCAGTGGTTCGCGTATTTCTCATTTACAAACTCTAGTGGTTATTCCATAGAGACGTTTTCTCCTAGTTCTACATTCAGAAAGGCACACTTGATGTCCATTTTATAGACTTCATAGTTATTGTGTGCTATGTATGCGAATAGATTCCATATTCGTAACTGGTGTGAAAGTTTCCCCGTAGTTGATGCCTTTCTCTTGCAATACCCTTTTACGACTAAACAAGCCTTGTTTCGGATCACATTACCCTCTTTGTCAATAATATTTCTGAAGACCCATTTGAGACCAACGACAGATTCATCCTTCAGGATTAGAATCAGCCTCCAATCCTTGTTGCATTCAGACTTACTGAGCTCCTCCTGTATTGCTTCCACCAAAATCGGAATGATCAAGAGCAATCTTAAAATTATTAGGTTCAATCTTGGAGATAAACGAATTAAACATGCAAAATTCCATTTTGGAGAATAATGTAGTATGCATTTTAGGATGATCTCGTGTCTATTTTGCCAACTGGCGGCAACCGGGGGGGGGGGGGGGGGGAGGGGGTAATTCGGAGCATAAGATGGATCGAGTTCAACATTCACCTCTTCAAATTCTGATTGAGTATCCGAATCATCATTTGCATTCGCATTCTCCCCTTCGAATTCTGGATTCGACTCATCTTCCAGAGAAGGGTTCTCTCCCTGGAGAGGACTTTCATGGTTTACTTGAGGAGTTAGATCCTCCCCTTGAAAATGTGGTTCTAAGCTAACTTCTGGAACACCATCCTCCCCCCTGAACATGTGTGCTTGTGGAAGGTGTTGAAGCGAATCCCTCCCCATGATGTGAAGCACTCGTAGCTTGTGGATGAGAAGGAATGTCATAGTCTTTTGAAATGTGTGGCTCATTTTCAAGATTCGTCGCAGCGTCATTGATAATCTTCTTTAGTTCATCCTTGTTGTTGTCAGCTACTTTGGATTCTGAAGTAATCACCTTCTATGGCTCATAAATTAAGTCTAATAATTCCTCATAAAGGTTTGAGATATGAATGGTCATGGGATTCTTTGCTGGAACAATCTCCTCAGATTGACGATCCTATGTCTGGAACTTCTTAAGATAAGAGTCATCGAAAGTGAAACAATATGTTTCTACTGTCTTTTTTTACTTTTTGTTTAGAATCCTATATGTTTTCAAAGTTAGAGAGTAC